CATGATGATTGGGCAAATAAATTATTATTAAATTAGCAAATAYGCTTCTGACTAGAAAGGATCAAAACACATAAACAAGATAGTATTCACTTTGCCTTGCTAATAAGCAARCTATTCGAGGTTTTTTTTATTTTCCTCTCAGTTTTCCAGGTTTCGAAACATAGAAAATTGTCCATTCTCAGGTGTCAATATGTTGGAAAAATTTACTGTATGAAAATTATGCAAATTGGTGGCGATTTGAGTTTTTTTCTGAACGATTGATGCCGTAAAAATTTATATAAGATTTTTCTTCTATACCTTTCAGTTCAGTATGGAATTTTTTATAACTCATGTGGGCATGTATATGTAAGTCCATAAGGAGCGAAAATCACCAGAAAACTTTCAGAAAATTTTGGGCAGACAATYTAATSAGGTTCAAGCTTTAGGATTTGGCTTGATTTTTTGACTTTCTTGTTCCAAACTTTAGATTACGTTTCYATTCAATTGGCATTAACTTTCTGTTGGGCTTTGGGAATATTTCGTTTATTGCGCTATCCATCAATGAAAAAATTATTCTTAATATTTACATTCTGATGTWTTAAGATGYCATTCTCTCAACGTAATRATCTTCYCTAYAGTAATTAAGAAAATGTTCTCTGAGGCAAATCTAAGCCACTTGCAGCTCTTGGACATTCATTAGTTTGAAGTAATTAGCATAATTCATTAAAAGTAGAATAAATCATTTTAACTCCTTGAATATAAAAAACTTTGTGGACTTTTATTTATATAATCAAAGTGTTTTTTAAGTTGTATAATATGCAGTTTGAAGAGGAAGTTTGCATCAAGAATTGATGAATGTGTTGAAAAATGATGAAAATGTTGTCAAAATTTATAACATRCACAAAACCAAAAGTTKTYTCTATATTTGTCTCTAATCATTTTTTTTTTGAATATATAAAACGAAATTTRGAAATATTCTGTAATGGACCATTGYAGGAAATGAGACCATAACTTCAAATTACTTCTGCAATATATTTTTATTCCATCCCCTCKCGTAKGTTCAGTTCAATTTCATTATTCCTCTCTTTGTTCTAGGCATCAATTCTGTGCYCAATAAAACAGTCAAATATTTTTCTGGGGCACGTTCAGRAAATATTTAGGCACAAATCATGACTTTTTCATTAAATATTCGCCTGGCCCTATATGATCGATTTAGGAGTGAACATTTTGCCCGTTTCATTAATGCCTTGTATCAACAATGTGCGTTATATAACTTTGAAGGCCCTTGAAAAAGGAAAACTGTTTGTTGCTGCTGAAAGTATATCCGACTCTATTGCAGATATACTGCAAAAACCACTTATTGAAATGTCTTTATTGCTAGAAAAGCTACTCGCTTTCATATGCTTTGAATATCAGGTAATTGGATTGTTTCCTGTAAACGCTTTACTTTGAATGCTAGTTTGTAAAGCTGGCAAATCTTATGGTTTATAAATCTGCAAGGCGCATTTTGAGTTGCGTGTATGTTTTTAAGAAGTTTCAGTTCAATATTGACTGAAAACTTATTATCCACGTGGCTGCGATACTCAACTTCAGTTATGAGGTTAACATTTTGATACGGAACCTAATACCCATTGAATTTACATTTTCGATGCAGCAAAAGCATAGAAATATCCTATTTTGATGTCATTTTGCAGCTAAAAGTTAAATTGGCCGTATCTACCTACCAGCTGAGGGCTTTTAAATAGTTAGAAGGTTCACGAAGTGCTTAAAACAATGGAAAGACGTTGTCAATTTTATCTGGAGCTTATCCACGAAGTCGATTAAGTTCGCTTGTATTCGTTTCTAATTGATAACTACGAGTTTCAGTTCTTGGAAAGGGAAGTAAATACTCGTGTAACTCGGCTAATTTTTTCCATTGGAAAGCTTTTTCCGTCAAGCGGATTAGAGAAAAACAGACGTCGCTTCCATTTGCTTAATTCACACGTGGAGAAACTCGAAGATCCGTCAATTATGGGTTCGTCAGTGTAAGTTGAAATTACCGAAGTGTTTTCGATCCATTGTTAATGTAAATGTAAAATGATCGCAATGTGTGTTATAACTAGCAAGTAGAAGTGCAGACCAATAGTTAGCTATTGATCGGCACCTAGAAGCACTAAAAGTTTTGAGCAAAAATTCAAATTCCGACCCGGTAACTGCTGAACAAAATAAGAACGATTACGTACAAGACGGTTTTATTAATGGATTTTCGCTGCCGGTAATTCGCCAAGGATATTAGAGTTTCAAAGTTTTGGACTTTTGGATGAGGTTTTACCTCTATGATGAACTTCAAAGGAATCCGAAAAACCAGCTGAAATTTGCCGTTCATATTCAAATTCCTATTAGCTAAGCTAAATAAAGTTGAAATCGCATATCGAGAGAACATCAACAAATTTATTACTTTACCGACATCCGGAGTTAATTCGTATCCAGCATAAAACAAAACCGGTACAAGTTTGAATTAAATCCGAACCGGCAAAAACAAATCAGCTTCAGCTTTAATTGAAGTTATTGTAGCTGACTGTGCCCGGGAGACGTCGGATGATAAAAAGCTAGCAACAGTTTTTCGAGTTTTATTTATGCAGGATTAATTTTCATCAAGAAGTGCAATGTTGTTCCACAACAAAACTGCTGCTTCATTATGTTCAGATGGAAGAAGAAATAAAGGCACACAGGATTTATTCAATGAGATTTGCAATTTATTTCAGTTTCTTGCCTTGTGCAAGAATCTGATCTTGATGTAATAAATACGAACAGAAGACTCCCGGCCGACCGGCTTTAAATGCTTGTAATGATATTCAATCTAGTTTAACTTTAAACGACAAAGACAAATTTGTTTACCGTCCTAACTCATTTCCGCCTTTAGAATTTAAGAACAGCTTTATGGGGTCTGAATGCTTCATTCATTACACCACTCACACTTTAATGATTAAGGGTTTAGCCTTTTGTCAAATAATGTTGAAATTTGCTTGCTTCAATCGGCGTCCAGGAGGGTTTACAATAAACAATTCCCACAGAACAAACGACGCAATATGAAAAAGGGGGTTTTATTTATATAGCAAATATGTGTTTACTATACAAAACGTAGACCAGACTTTATGAATATTTCATTAGATATGCAGATATTTCGTAGGTGAATGCTTTATAGTCAGCTTGCATTGACATTAACGGGATATCCAACGTTAGTTTAGTCGCCTACATGTTAACTGAACGATAATCTATAAAAAAACCACTAGAGTTTAAAAAGTTTGAAAGCGCAATTGGAGACTTTACTAATTGTCCCAGGCAGCTTCATCTATATGTGATTTAAACGAATGAATTGAGTGAGGAAGCGTTAAGCAGCTTAAGCTTATGAACTTTAAGTATACTCGACTTTTGCACCCTGTTGGCGCTAGAAAGCTGTGAGAAGTAAATGAGATTATCCTTACGCATTTAGTTTTCGTTTTATTTATTTTTTAGATAAAACGGAACGTGAAAAAGTTGTAGTTTATTAACTTTACCAGTCAACTGTAAAATTCCGCAAAGGTATGTAATTTCTATTCATATAAAATATACAAAAACTGGTTTCATGAATCCTTGAGTAAGTTCTCCATTTTCAGAGGAGGAGATTTTGTTAAATGTTCAAAGTTGTACAGAATCGAAATGTCTTCTTATGGATGGCTTCTTGGTATATTGTGAACTTTATGTGAARATGTACTTTTTAGCCTGTTCGATACTGTTTTATTCATCAATTTTTTTGGAGTGACTTCAATCCTTTTTAATACAATTATTCKTCTTTTTGTGTGATAACTAAAAAACCTATCAAATGTGTGCGTATTCGCAGTATTATATTCMRWTKAGCMAGCMGTTTAAAGCAGTTTAAAAACTGCGTTAATTRTTTCCATGGTATGGTAGAAGASWGGAKGAATTAAATGCTAAAGAAAATACAAATCATTTTACTATGAATGAATATAATCGACTGCACTTTTTATGARTTTTTGGGAGAATTGTTCTCGAATATAATATGTTATACCGTATTTGCGTCAAATACGCAAATACGGTTGGCTTTTGTGCACCCTTAGGACGTGCACGGCCTTTATTTTATGCTGGTTTCGGATTGTTTCGTCAGYAGCTAMTGTWCTTCGCCCATTTGTGGGCGGATAGGGWTATTTTGATAARGCAATTTTTTTTTGCRAAAATTTCACCTGGWAGTTAAACAGTCATCTGCTCAAAATTGTMCTYTAGAGGAGTTTTTYCTAACCCATCATCTTTGAAGATGGTCTATATGAAAAAACCTTATATTGTGCAAAAAGCAAATGATGTAAAGAATTATTTAATATAGATAGATATTAGAAAGATGAGAAACTAAATAATAAAATAATTMTATCCATTAGTAAACGGCATAAATGAAAATAGTTTAGTAACTATTTATTTCCGAATAGAACTTTAATCGGAATTTTTTCAATTTGCAGTATGCTTYTGCTTGGCGATTCGGTTTCTTTGATAATCAATCAAAGTAATCGGTTCTTTTCATTTTAGACATTTCTTAACAGAACGTTRAGTTTTGAAACAGAATAGCGTGCCTTGTGTAATTTATGATTTTGCAGTAATAATAGAGATGCGTTTCGATCATTGCTCTTAACCACTTTTCGTATGGTTTATCTCTTACTTTTCWCATGTATTTCGTGGTTTTAGTTACAGAGCTTTTAAGTATTTGTGTTATTAGTCAAGAATTAATCCTTTAATCATCAGAAATTACAGTTATTATTACGTTTACGCACCTACACCTATTACCATACCACAAAAAACCGCTTGTAGCAATATGTTGATAGGCGATTGAATTGAGGCGTTTTATTTTTATTTTTGCCTAAATGTCTATTTCTTTGGACAATTAATCATTCATTCATATCATAAGTGCCAATAATAAATTATTTGCTATTGTCATGTTAGTCTTATAAGTTTTGATAAATATAAAATATTCAGTTGGAACTGTTTATTTCTTCCAGACTATCAACAATGGACAGCATTTACACCGATGAAGCATGACGGATCTGCTGATCAGGCTCGAGATGTCCAACTACACTTTTTGCGACTTGGAAGACTTCAAAAAACACTACAAAGAAAATATTCACGGTTACCTCAGCTTGACGGTGTGTGTTTTCGGATCAATAGCCAATGTGTTTAATATTTGCGTATTAAGAACGAAACAAATGCGTTCGCCCACTAATTACATTTTAACGGGGTTAGCGGTTGCGGACCTGTTAGTGATGTTACAATACATTCCATTTACCATTCACCGTAGCTTAGTCAATAAGCCCCTTTATTATACACACTTTAATTATCTTTGGGCTGTTTATTATAAATTTCATGCGTTATTTACACTGATTTTGCACTTTATTGCGTGTTGTCTGACTATTATTTTAGCAATATGGAGATACGTATATATTTCGCGATTACATGCAAACAAAATATGTTCAGACGAAAGAAAGACAATTATTGCAATCATGACAGCCTACATAGTGTGCCCGGTTTTGTGTATTCCTATGATTTCCACGTCTCAAATAGTGGCGTATCCGCAAACTTGTGATCTGAACGGAGTTATAGTGGCGAAAGATAACAGGAACAAGTACAATAGTTCGGAACTGAAGAACGAAACAATTTTCCTTCTATATCCCAACGATCCTTTCCAATTGAGCATTTGGGTCTACAGTCTGCTGTTGAAGCTTCTTCCGTGTGTGTTATTGACGGTGTTGTCTTACAAGATCATTACGGCATTACTGGAAACGAGGAGACGAAGGATAAAGTTGCTGACTTCTTGTCAGCCTTTGGACGACTTGAGTAGGAGTTCAATGAGCAATCGGGTTCACGTGTACAAAGACACTCAAGCCGATCGAACCACGAAGATGCTTCTAGCAGTTTTGTTTCTCTTTCTGCTCACAGAGTTTCCTCAAGGGATAATGGGACAAATCAGCGCTATCTATGGAGATGCTTTTCTGAAGGAATGTTATTCTGCCTTCGGTAAGTTTCGATTTATTTATTTGGTCTTACACCCCAGGGACATATTTTAAATCGAACGATAAATATTCAATGTGGTTACTTCCCAGATATCAATAGTTTGATGCGTGATATTAATATCAATTAATTATATATTGAGGAATGAGTTGAAGGCAAGGTACAGTTGGTTGAAAATTGAAGCCAGTTATTTGGAGAGAGACTGGAGCAGAGCTTTATGTAGGGCTGTAAAATTGTTTGTGTTTTAACTTTAGATATTTGCAAAGCCTATTTGGAAAGTACGGTATCTGAAAAAACTATTAAATGTACATACATCATAGAAAGATTAACTTTTGAGCAGTTCTCTTGGTATAAAGTATTGATGTCTATCCGTTGATAGAAATATTTGTTGTTTCCGTGCTTTCAACTTTTTTAAAAGAAGTCTTGCTCCATAATTTGATACAATTGATATACTCGAAACTCGGAAGTAAAGACAAACATTATTTTGTCATGAAATTGGGGATTTCTCCTGCCTTACAAGCAGGCTTCTGATAAATACTGCTAATAAATTTCCGTTAGCTTCGGCTTGAGTTATTTTCATTTCGTCTGGATTCCTTTCGGTTAGTTTAGGCTTATTTCAGTTATATTAATTGTCAAGTAATCTTTAACTATTTTCTTAACTTATTAGCTTCAGTCAAGGAAGAATGGAGAATAACGAAGAACAAGAAAATATGGAAAATAATTAACGAGGTAACTAAAGGAAAGACAAACGAACATTCGTCCCAAAGTAATATGGTCAATACATTCGTTTTGGTTATCTTTAATTGCAAATAATCTGTAGTCACTTTGATTCGGTTAATTTGGGTTTGTTTCGATTGGTTTAGTTTTCATTCCTGATGTGAAATTATGCGCTCGTTTTATCTATACTTTAGGTTAAACCTTGGTTTCGCAAAATGATTATTAAGCTACCTTTTAAATCGTCGGAATGGTTCATTTCCGTGATTTATTTCGGGGCTATTGCTAAAATAAACCGTTCTAGTTGGTTGCATTGTAACCGCCCGAGTGAGTTCAGAGATAAAAGTCGGAAACCTTAACTATGGATTTTTGTTAGTTATGTACACGTCGGAAATGGAAGATTGGAAATTTAGGACATTCTAAACAGATCGGTGCGGTGGAAAATAAGCATTAATACTGAAAATAGTCCCAAAGATCAGTACTTTAAGAGATTTGTTATGGAAGGAACGCTGCCGAGTTGCAATAAAATTAAAAATTATATTGTTGTTTTGAAAAAATTCACTTTGGAAAATTGAAACGTTATGTGTTGACCTGGAAAGTTGAAAAGGCTTTTGGGACATTTTAATTGAATGTCGCGTGAGTAATGTAGGAATGATAAAAAATGTAAATTTGACCACTTGAACTTCAGGAAGCGCTTGAATCCTTAACGCTAATTTTTGTCATATTGACCCTTGGTTCGAATTTAAAAAAATATTTTGAAACGTAGTGAATAAATAATATTTGTGGATAATTACTCGGACTCCGCACTTACCCGATTTACGTCCTTTAACTTTTCCAGTCAAAAAGAAGATACAATGAAACGTTTGAGATATTACATTTTTTGTAACAGAATAAAACACAGTCAGTTCTATCTGGCTTTCTTATACACACAGATTAATGTAAAATTGTCTAATTTTTAAATAATCTTTCCCGAAAGTAGAGTTTCAGCGCTATATAAAAGAAGAGTACCTACGTAGAATAGTCCATATTTTCGGAATTCGTAAAAAAGATTGATACCTGAACCGAGAAAGATTAGAGTGTTTTAGTCCTCCACCCCGTAAATGATACGCCCATGATTAAAATTTAACAAGTTTCATTTGAGATCTAAATTAACCAACTTAAATTTGCTGATGCGTAAAAAAAATTTCAGTTTAACCGTTTTATGATTCACTTGAACAAAAACGCTCCTCGTGGATTCTTCTTTAAGCGGAAACTTTTCGCTAGATGTTTGTTTGCAACATTAATATTATTTCCGAACAGTTTGCAGTGTTTTTAATTTCCATTAATACTGGACAATTTTTTTTCCAAAAACACAATTCAGCGGCGCTTTGAAGAAGAACTGGAAAAAGTTATCGGCTATTTTCATTTTCCTCAGGTACATTAAGATTCTTTGCAAATTACTCAGCAGATTTCGCATACTATCCCGGTAAGTGTGTTGTCTTCATTCGGTTGAATAATTTTCGGTGTTTGTAAGGACATCAATGGAATGACACACAAACTGCTCAATGTGGAAGCTATTTAGAGGATGGCGCTGTTTTTTGCTTTACAAACGTTCCATATCGTAGAAGTAGATAATTTCTGAAATCGTTCGCGTGAAAATAACGAGGACATGCTCCTGATAGACTACTGTATTTGCATTTTAAATCAGTAAATGGACGCAGTCTATATGGTTTGATTTAAGTAAAAATTGATAACACTTTGATAGGTTACATTTTTTTGTGGCAATCTGTATAGTTAAAACTAATGTGAAAACATGGCCAATAGTATGAAAATTGAATGGAAAATAAACGTTCCTTTTCTCATGGGAGTCGAATAAGGTGGGCCACTTTGTACATGATAACTTGGGAATTGCCATCGTTTATTACCTGAACCCTACAGGTCCAAATGCTTTCAATATTAAACTATTAGCGTCGAAAATGTTAGCGTCGTAAATCTTTTGAAATTAACGTTTCTGGAAGTTATTCTCCCTTGGGCTAATATTGAATTTCGAACTGTTTACTCTTAATTTTCACTAACCGCTAATCTAAATTTGCGTGGTAGATTTGACAAATACGCTGCTGATACAAAGTATACCGTTTCGGGTAAGGAGATCCCAATTATTATCGTAGGGATACGGATTATTGGAGATTATTATTTTTCACAGTGGGAGAGACAAATCGTTTCCCTGAATTTATTTTTATAATCTTTGCAGGCTTTTAACGAGTCGTTTGATTCTGACATTGATTATTGAAAAAACCTTAAAGTCGATATTCTGCAGATAGGTATGTAATATGCTCCACTTCACCGTTTGAATTTGCCTGTAAATGACAACTTTTTAATAAGATCAGGAGGGACACATTTCGTTTATTCGAAAAAAGCTATTTTATATAAAAAGAGGCTGTTTCCTTTCGGCTTTAGAAAGTTTACCTTTCATGCAGATACAAACATTTTCAGTCAATAGTTAAATTTATAAATCAACCCACGAAAGCAGAAAACACATAAATCGTCTTTATTAAATGAGATTTTTCATTTTATGAAAATTTTTGGCAATTTTGTCGTTATGAATAATGAAAATAGCAGAATACCGAAGTTTAAAGTGCATAAAACTGCAATTGTTCAAAAAAAAGTAATAAAAATTTGAAATAGTCAAGCTGAAAACTGAAGCGCTTAGAATGATGAATACGGGAATGAGACTGTTGAGAAGCAAATTATAGACAATAGACATTATTGTCCTCCCATTCTATAGATGTAGATATATATTCTATACAAGGAGACCTTAGAATCAATATTTATACGGTTATATGTGATATAAATTCAATTCTGAAATGAAACGAATTAACTAATTTGCAGTTGAGCTCAGCTATGCTCGGAGATTATTTGCAAAGGAAATGTTTCCATTACCATCATAAAATCCTCAACTTTTATTAGGAGTTCAAATTCTGCAGGCTATCAAATTAACATTTTCTGCTCTAGGAAAATATTAAAATCATAATAAAGTGCAATACGTTCTTCATTTGCTGGTTTTACTTTCCTCTTCTTTGCAATAGAGAATTTTAGTTGCTTAATTTACACGTGCCGAAGCTCGAACGATAAAGGTCAATTATGAGACCAGGACAATCACTGGAATTGACTTATTACTATATAAGATTTCTGCTGTAATCAACTATTGATCAGTCGAGTACTGAATTTAAATTTTCAAGTAAAAATGCTGCTCAGCTGCTGAATAAAATAAGAACGATTATCTGCTAGGCTCTTTTATTAATGGACTTCCTCAGCCGATTATTCGCTATGCATTATTAGAGTTTCAAAGTTTAGCACGAGATGAATTATGAACTTAAGTTAAATCCCAATAACAAGCTAAAGTTTACTGTTCATATTGAAATTCCGTCTATTTAAATCAAGTTGAAAATGAAAATCGAAAGAGCATCACAGCTGCCTGATGTCTACCAACTTATTAATTTGCTGGCGCGCCAAGCATCTACTTTATTTATATCCAGTACCATGCCAAATAAGCATATAAAATCCCAAGCTGAAGAATATAAATTAGTTTCAATTTGAAAAACTAATAGCTAGAATATTTTATTTAGGTATAAAAGCACATAAAAACTTTTTGCTGTCTACATACTATGACACTACTCTTTAAATATATTCAAATAGATCGACGTTTGAAAAAAGCCAATCATTTCTTACTAGAATTTGCAATTTGTTTCAATTTCCACCTCGTGCATGAGTTTGGTCTTTACTTGATCTGATAAATTCAAACAGAAGACGTCGGCTTTCAATGTATGCAATGATTTTCAATCGAACTTAACTTTAAACGACAATGACAAATCTGTTTACCATGAACGAACTCATTTCCGATTTTAGAATTGCAGAACAGCTTCAGGCAGATTCTGAAAGCTTCATTCGATAAATCACTCAAATTTTAATGATTAAGAGTTCGAATTGTTTCCAATTGCGTTTTTTTACTTTGCCATGTTAGTCTTCCGATTCTTAAATTTCACATGCTTCGACTGTTTGTTTTCACAACCTACTTTTTGGAGCAAGAAATGTTACTTGGACGATTGGCAAGCAACGGGAACGCAATAAATACTTGATGACTGTTAGAGGAATTTGGTTATGCCGACAGAAGATCTAAAAGATGTTTTTTCTATCCCTGTTGTATTGTTTTCTCTTATGTTCAACTCCTTCATTACTCCGGTATATTGAGTAAATTATCAAAGGAATCCGCTCGACTTAATTTGGTAGAATAAAATTAGTGAATATTACCGAAATGTTAGCAGTTTGGATTCAGCATCATCCACATTCGTATACTTAATTGTATTTGCCCTTTATTAATTTTTGTTTCCCCCTTTTCGTTCTTGATGTGTTTTCATATTCCGCCTCCGACAAGAACCTGAAATTTCGGAAAATATCTCTTTGATCAATGGCATAAAGACCGGCTTTGTGTTTAAACTTGAAAGAATGTAAAATTGAGTTAAACTTGAAATACAGATCGCGTACACCATAAGGGTTACAAAGTGGGTTAAAGTAGGGTAAAGAAATTTGGCAATTAGAGAATTCGGGGAAAACTGAAATTTGAGTCGAATKGATTTGTAATTCTTTTTCTAATATGGACTTGATGAGATGAGGATGAGAATTGAAAATTCAGTTCAGTSATAACAACATGAGAGAAAATTTGAGTAGTTTTGACCCAGAAAGMGAAATTTCAATATCAGACAYTTATGTGCAAGATWATGCCAAAATTTCATGTTTTSCGTCCCGGTTTTRTTCATTTCTCGGAAGCAAAATGAGSAAGAATCTTGTCGCTTGCTTCTCTTSGGAAATTTAACTTTGTCGTACCAAATTRGTCCAAAAAACAAAARTGTGTTTTTCTCGCCAACGAAACGAGCTAAGCAACTTTTCAGCAAACAATCGTCGTTTTTATTGGAATTTGGACGGTTTTGTGTATGATTTATGTTGTCGCTTGCTTCTCTTCAAAAATTTAACTTTCTCGTACCAAATTGGTCCAAAAAACAAAAGTGCGTTTTTCTCGCCAACGGAACGAGCTAAGTAACTTTTCAGCTCACAAGCGTCGTTTTTGATRACCCCCATAGATCCGCCTTTGGTCGAGATCARTACCAAAACCAAAGAATTATTCTCGATACTTGAAGGTTTTTCTGATATATTGGTTTTTATTCTCTTMAGRTACRTTAATAAAAATAGTAAAGTAAAATAATTCTCTAMGTTTTCTGCATAAAATGTACTACTTYYCKTTTAAATATCAATCTAATTTTRCTTTTCAAAGCCAACGCAACATTTTGAACTAATCAAATCGGGTACTTTTGCATCAGCCAGTCATTAAAGTGTTATTAAATTCAAGCTTAAGAAATCGGTTTAATAAACGTGTTTCTGTAGAAATAAATAATATTCGTTGGGCGTTGGTACGAAACAAGCCAGTGCTTCTTAGTGCACACAACAAATGGATGAAAAAAAAACATTTGTAATATACAGGGTGTCCCGAGACCTCATGGCCATAGCTATCAAAGTTTGCAAAATCTTTGAAGAAGAACGAATTTTCATAGGATTAACTTGGGGATGATCAGGATGGGTAGACTTGAGATCCTGGGGCATTTCTCTTTTTTCCTCTTGACCGAATTCGAAGATTTTTGCTAGTTGAAGTTGAAGTTCTCTAAAGAAAGACTACTGTTGTGTCCTAMAAGATCAAAAATCTTGCCAAGCCGAACAGTCGCTTTACAAAAAAAAAATATAAAAAACTTSTGAGGATAATSACATCCCAGTTATTATAGTCAGGATATATGTCTAAGTACTAAGTGGTCTGCTTAATTTAATATAAATAATTTTATGGTTTGGAATATTTCCCCAATCGATCGAGGAAAGTTGGCTTCATGAAACCTCTATTTAAGCATAGGGATCCGAAGAGTGTTGAAAACTATCGCTCTATAAGCCTGCTGTCGAGCTTACACAGTTGTAAATTTTAAACAGATTGTATGTGAAATTGGTGAAACCAAAATTTGGAAAGGTTCTGCACTCATTCATTCGACTAATGTGATCACGATTAGATATTCTTCGGGCGCTTGTAGAAAGGCTATTTTCGATTATGTTAAGAATAGGTTTCTCCAAAAAATAATCTCCATCAGCCAAATGTTGATGCACATTGATCAACACTTTGTTATTAGGTATTATTTGATTCACAGTATCGATAAATAAAACTAACATCAGATGTATTTACTGTTTTTGTAAGTATTGGTCATAAGGCCTCAATGTCTGCCGATCCAATAAAAATATATTATTCATAATGTTTTATTCAGGCAGTTTATACCAAAATAAAAAAAAAAGAAATCATACAGATGTATATTAAAATAACTTTAATTCAAGTACCAAGCTGCGCCATTAAATCATCTACCACCTTCAATGCACTGTAAATGCGAATTCATTTTTCGAAGAAACAGTTTCAATTAACGCGATCTCATTGTTAGGCAAGGATAACGAATACTTTCCAGTCATCATTTTCAGTCAGTAATCGATTGCTCGATAACTGAAAAGTATTTTTCACACTGCCCAAGCCTTTTCGGGGGCCATAAATTTCCCCGAACCGAGTAATGCTAGTTGAATATTCAACTAGAATGGTCCATTTTTTATTTGCCGCCAATATATTTTCCTTTATGCGGAAAATTTTGCGCGATTAGTCTTTATTCATGTCAGGGCATCGTGTGGCAGATAAGAGTTTACTAGACCTCTGAGGTTTCTTAAAACGTACGACTTTTTTTCATTATCATAGGTCGGAGTTATTTATTTTTTTCGGTAACAAGACGCATCCACCCCAAGCTAATACCCGCCAGTCATCAATCTTCACGAAGCAATTTCGGCTTACACCTGCTTTGTTAATAAGCTAATAAAGAGATAAGTAAGAATAATTTTAATACTGCTCCTCTTGGTTCATAATGGGACATTGGAAAGCTTTGAGAATATAATTATAATTTAACGTGTGTAAAAGTGCTTGCTATGCGAACCTTTTAGAGCCTTTTCATGCCAAACTTGGATCCTAATCAGGTTTTTATCATGAAAAATTAACCATCCACTTTATGAGCAACGTACAATATATATAAGTTTTAAACTTTGTCTCAAGGTCCACATAAGATTTTTTGTTGTTTCAGGCGAAATTATGGACATTGTGGCCTTAATCAACTCCTCCATCAACTTCATTCTCTACTGCACAATGTCTCGGCAATTCCGGGCCACTTTTGAGGAAATGTTCAACATCAGACAGATAGTGGACTGGCTGATGTGGATCAAACGCCCATTACCAAAAAAAGTCCAGGAAGACAACGGTATCGAAACGAAGATGTCGTTGGTATAGCAGTTGAAAAATGCGGATGAAACAAATATTTTGACTCTATTGGAGGCACTACTTAACAACGTTTGTCTTTGCACATTTGAAACATGTTCCTGTTTTGATTTGCGTTATATAAATACAGTTTACTAAGCCAAGTAAATGGTGAGAAGAGCTGTCTGTAACGGGCTAATTGGATTGGAGGCAAGTTAAAAGAGCAGGAAATATTGATAAGGAGAGTCATTTTTATATTTTGCTGTAAATAACTTTAATCGGCGAATAAAGCGTTGAAACTGAGCTGGTTTTATGCGCGACTTTCGACCTAAAATCGTTGAAAAGTTTGCTTACGAATAACACACATCCCTCCATTAAATAGCGACGCAAGCAATTATTTTGCTGATCGTTTATCATCCAGAGAATGCAAAGTTTCCACAAATTGATATTTCATTAGTTAATGGCAATAACAGTGCAACCTGCGACTGCAGTTGCCATTAGTGTGCATTATTATATGAAACTCTCAGTTTGCTAAAAGCTTAATACCCATTTAAAGCCTTCGTAAAATATTCTGTCTCAAATTTCCTTAGATCCCATTATCTATAGGAAAAGTTTTGTTGTAGAGGCTTAATAACTCCCAAGTTGAAGTCAAATTTGAAGCTTCCCTTCTGTAAGCCATTGAAAATGAATAGTATTAATTATTCAATTTAGTTCCCGCTTTTACTTAATTATCTGGGCAATGAATTGTCTATGGAAAATGTTTCGAATTTATTCTATTGGTAATGGAAATAATCCGAGCACCAAATCTAGGCTTCTCTTTTGTAGCATGCACGCGATTGGATTTTTTTGGACAATTATTATTATTTTTTATAAGTTTTATACAGGATGTCTTAAGGACAGAGGTATTATTTGTTTCAAAGCCATCAGATCAATCAGAAAAGTTTCAACGCAGAAAATACCATTTTTCATAATGGAACACTTTATATTGTATTTCACTTTTTAATTCTTATGTAATGTTCTTGTGCACATGAACGACTTTTGCTTCCTAAACATAAGCCCAATGGGCGACTGAAGTCGGATGAGAGTTTCGTAAATTTTTTGTTCAATTTAAAAACTTGCTACAATTTTTTTGGTATCAACTATGGCTTTCGAGTCTTTTGAAAAATTATGAATTAATGTCTGCACTGTTTCGTAAGAGCTGGAAAAAAATTATAAGTTCGACACTCTGTATCTCAAAGAAGCTGCATTTGCTGCCTCATGTTTTTGCTTGTTTTAAACTCCTTTAAAAAAGCTTGTCGGTATATTTATAGATCACCCTGTATATTTATCAAAATTTATAACAAAAATGCTCACATATTAAAAAGAATAAAATTTGTACTTATTCTAGTTTAGAAAATTTTCCCGGACGAATTTTTCCTGTGATTCAACTTCAACTTATGCGATCGTTTCCAGTAATCATTTCGATATTTCCAATTTATTATTAGAATATCCATCATTGAGATGGACGTGAAATTGATACAAATAGTTGTTTATCAGAAAACAACAGATAAAGTGTTCAGTGAAGACAGTGAACCAGTAAAGAGTGGTTGTGCGAATTGAAAGAAACCGTAAAAATGTTGCCTGTTTTATTGAGATTTGGTTTATTTTGCTTCTGTTGGACGCCATATTGTATACGGACACGTTTTTGCATTTTAATGTTTTACCCATGCATCAGGTAATGTTCATTAGCCGAGAGCCAGTGATTAATGTGAACCGAATTGAAGTTTAAAGTAAACAATGCGCTTGAACTTGTGGACAAATGTTAATCTAATGAGTTTGGTTATAAGGATTATTTTCGTCAATTTGAAAGGGCATTTTCTTTCAGCTCAAAATGCTGATATCGATCTGAGTGATAGTGAATTTGATCAGTGTTCGGCATTTGAATGCGCCAAACCGTGGCCGGAAATGTTCCGACTGAATGAGGATCTTGTTAACACAACCAATAGCGGTTATGTTATCTCTAATAAGGATTTTATACTTCATCGGTAAGTGTTTTATGATTAGTGGATCATTCTTTGAGATATTTTTCTAGAAAAATTTCATATAGAAATGATGTCAAACTAAGGCTTTTGAATATGTATACAGAGTGGTCTACTTTAGTCGATGAGTGTTGGATTTCTTGTTGAGAACAATATTTTGTCTAGTGAAAATATCATGTTCTGAAAAAATAAATAGTGTGGGAGCTGTGGGTTTTTTCGGCCACATACATTTAATTATTGCTAATACGATTATAACTACGCTCAGCGCTTCCACTTTACTAGAATTAGCATTTAATTTGCGTCCAAAATCAGCTCTTAATATTTTTTTGAATCTATCTAGTTTCAGAAAAATTCTACTTTTGTGATTCAAAATTTTAATATTCCGAAGCAATGCAATCACACGAAATCACATAGTTTAATGATCAACCAGGTTGCTGAATTACCTACACTAGTTTGAATTATATAATTATAGAGAGTTTATTATTATTATAGAGAGCTTGATTTAAATCACTGTAAATTTTAAGAAAAGCGTCGAGTACAAAAGTTACGGATTTGCAACTCAGGATTACGCTTAATTTTTTTTTATTAACCCTTTTTATTTGTTTACAATCTGTCCTGAGACAATAAGTAAAAAATGTTAACATACGAAATAACATGTGAGTGTTCACTCATTAGTAAAGCACTCTTACGCTTAAGTTAAGCTAACTTTTGTCGTAGTTTTTGGTTTAAATTCTGCCACGTGTATTTTTAACTATAAAAGTACTGGTATAAGCACGGTATTTGACCCTATAAGACTTTATCGGCCGAATATTGCTTGCTTGCGACATATGAAAAAATATGTGCTTGTACTACGCATTTTTGAAAATAAATTCACAAATTTTTTAACTTCAAATCGTGAGTTTGTTTCGATAAACCTGATTGAGTACACTCTGAAGAAAAAGCTTGAGTTCACTCAAAAGAAAACTGTTCTTGGCTCTCTTAGCTTCGTGTATATTTCAAGAATCGAGCCGTGTAGAAAAAAAAGAATATTTTTAATATCATTTTTCCAGTTGCTCTGGTATTCAATGCTTGAGAAAAAATATTTGTCGGCTAACGGAGACCACTCTGTATACATGTTGAAATGCTTGGCTTCGTACACGCTGGATTGAGACTATGTTTACGAAATTTTCCAAGATAACTTCTGAAGCACGTTTCATGATACAAAAAAGTTGATCACTTTGTCCACTGGCCAATTACCACAGCAAATATGGTTTCTATCATTTTATCGATCTAAAAACTATTAAAATGACACCGTATTTAGAAACTAAATTGCTGTATTTTTTACTTCATTTTTTTGGTTTCTTGTAGGTTTATTTCAGCTGTGACACAAAACTTTAAAATATGCTAAACGAGATTCAATCGAAGCCAATTTCGAATTAAAATCTCAGAAGATCGCGAATTAAGAATGAAATATATTTACAGTTCATTTATGTAAAAACCCACACAAAAAATGTATACACTTTTATGAGTTTTCTCAGTATTTTAATATATTTTTTCTTTTTTATACAGAATAGGTCTCTTCGTGCAAGAAAGTATTTCATGGAACACAGTGTTTTAAATTAAATTATGTTTACTCAAGACAGTGTCTGTGGGGTCAACTTTACAACAATATTTTCTTTACAGTTTTTATCTATATTTTTACATACGGTATTTATATAATTTTACGCAAATATATTCTTTTCACTTCTCCAGAATTTCCAACGATTAATGAATTATCGCAGGTTTGAATTTGACTGAAAATCGAGTCAGCATATTCTTCATTTGAATTAATATTGATAACTACTAATTAAGTAGTAAATAATAATTTACAACGCTTCACCAGTAACTTTTGAGATTTGAATTCACTTCGACCCCTTTCATATTACTTTAGTGAATAAACAAGCTTATTTCGGTTCTCTTATTGAAATTACCGGAGTCAACCTCAAGTTAAATAAGGAATTATTTCGCGAAATTAATTTCGTCATTTGTGAAAGTATATGTAGATGTAAGTAAAACATGGGTCTAGTATTGAGTGTTTTGGTGTAATTGGAAATTGCTTTTACCTCTAATTTCCAATAGTGAGTATATTTGGAAAATACCCCTACTACAGTGCAAATTAAAGGAAAACGCGCTCTAGAGTATCGTAAATATGAATACCCGAGTTTTCTCGTATTAATTGAAAGTTTAACTCTGGGAATTGAGTTATTAGAATATTTTAATTAATTAAGGCTTTTCCTGCCGGGCGTGGAAATCATTTATGTCTTAGACGGAGATTTTAATTTTCTTTTCTCATGAATCGCCTCGTCTCATAAAAAAACACAATTGGCTGCACATATTGTAAAATAGCAGAATTTAATTCACTGGATGGAATTAAATGGAAATAGCTGATATCCCATAGATGACCTTTAATTTGCATTTATCCAGCTTGTTAACTGGATTCTATCTCATTCAAGTATTATCCTTCGGCATTTTAGTGTCCCTTTTGGACAGGCAAAGCTGGGAGAGGCAGTATTTAATTTCGACTTAATTAGCATTTAAATGCCATGCCATTTTAGCCGGTTGATTCCTAGAGCAATTAGTTTAAGTCTAATCCTAATCGAGTCTCATTTCAACCCATAAAAGCATTCGTTGACCATACCTTAATGGCACATTTTGGGGTCGTTATTCCGCAATTTATATAGTTTTTACTGCCTATTAATTAAATTTGGCAGGAATTTCCATCAAGTGATTACATAACTTTAATATTCATATTCTACCTCCAAAAATAAGCCAAATATTCTTGTAAAAATAAGTTTGCAAACTGGATGTTTGAAACAATTTTCATACTACTGCATGATTAGACGCTACTGCAATTTACAGAATGTAATTTGTTCTAGCCATTCATCGCCACTTTTCATCGCGCAATATTCTTTTTTGAGAGCGAATGAAGAACTAAACATTTTAATTTAATTCAATTTAGAAACTTTTTGCCATTTGCATTGTCTGTCTCCAAGTCTGTCCTTACTTAAAAAAATTAGATCAAAAATTTGCAAGAGCAAAACTGAATACAATTCAAATAACATAAATTAAAATAAAAGCAGAAGAAAAAACGAACAGCAAACAGAATGTGCATGTAGTTGTGAAAAATATTTGTATCTCGCTCGCGTTGTGTTTCATAAACATGGATCTTTTTATCTGATTTTTGCTTGTATAATATGATTTTGGCTCGCCTTGTATTTTGAGGTGAATGAAGAAACATTTTATAATTATGTGGCGCTAGCTTATACAACAGTGTTTTAATTAAGACTCCCTGTATACATAAGTTAGGCTTAATACAGGGTGGTTGATAATTAATGAAACTGCTCAACAAAATGAACTTTTTGCGGCCAAATTTGCCGTAAGTTTGAAACTGGATAAGTTCTGATTGTCATAGGCGGTTTGATTTTTATTTAAATCGTTACCTATCCGAATTTTTTGTCCGCCAGTCCCTGTTTTTGCATTAAATTAAATACTACAGATAAAGCTCCTACATGGTGGAAAATTAAACAATGTAAAATTTCTCAAAGTTCCTCATGAAAAAAAAAACAATTTTTATTTTATTTCAACAACAAATGCATAAATTATGTCTCATATTATGAAGCAGTGATCACAAAAATTTCTTTTTGGTCTATGTAGTCGACTTAAGGCAAAATTATTTATAATTTGGTGGCAGGAATTAATGAAATTTATGAAATTAAGCTTCAATTTAATTGAAAGGTGAAATATCACATTTCGAAAATGGATTCAATCGGAAACAAATGATGACTGCAAAGCTAAAAAGTCGATTTTTTAGATCATCCTGTAAATAAAAAAGATTCTCGAATAATTGAAAAACAGTGTTAAGATGTAATGTTCGTTATAAAGAATCTAATTTTTTCAAAAACACGGAGGAGTAGACAAATATTTCGACTAGATAATGCTTCAATTACAACCTAAAAATCTCGCGGCAATTAGAATTTATCCAGTTCGTAAATTTTTTCAATTTTACCAAAACTTTTGCCAGCATTTTTTCCTTAACTTTTAAAAATTTTATACATTTTAATCAATCTTACATGCGATTTTCAGATGTCGATCTTCTGGTGGCTGTTGTCCAAATGTTGCAGAATTTTGCGTAGCCAGCAAAACGAATCCCGTTTGCATTAAATTCGAATATCAACGTTATGATTCCACTAGAATCGAGAACAAATTCATTATGATGCCAAATCACACTGAATGTGGCTGTTCCAGGCCACAAACCAAGGAAACCGCATCGTTATACGAAATGCTGGACCGTTGTGATAGAACGAAGTGAAGCATTTTTTACGAATGCTTATTGAAAGTGGAACGCCGATAATGCTGAAACATTGTACATTATTCTGGAAATGTAAGTGTTTTTGTGCTAGTATCAGTATTGCAGAAGAAAAAAGATGAGTTTGTTGGTATGTCTACTAGACGTTCCGCTTGTAAGTGCAACAAGCACTTTTTCCATTATCTATTTACCATAATTGATAAAACGCGCACTATTACCGATCAGTAATTAGTAGGTTTTTTGTTGTATTAAATCCAATTATTACATTATTGTGTCGTTTGGATGGCGCTTAAATTCCCAGTAAGAAGAAACACGTAACAAAGGCGTCAATTCCAGGTGATTAGTCTTCGTAAGATCACAATAAACACCGATAATCGACGACTCACTGACGTATAACAAAGTGCGGTTGAATCACGTGCCACTTATTAGGGTGTATTATTGCCCTACTTTGATCATTAACTTTGGATTTATGGGGGTTGGCAGATTATAAATTATGTGTGAGTATGAAAGGAGACAACACTTCGACGAATCCCAGTGTTTACCGAAAAACAAAAAAACTTCCATCAAGAAAAGAGCACATCGTTTTTAATGGAATATTAATAAATTTTCGTCCAACATTCTTGCGAAATATTTGAAAGTATAAGACAAAGTTTGCTCTCGGTATTTCCAAGAATTGTTTTTGTCCGTTTTAACTGGACTCTGCATATACGCAGTACTTAATGCTACTGCTTAATTCTGTTATTTCAAGTGAAAGAAAATATTATGTTTAGTTTACACATGGATTTTTTATGCGGCTTATGCTATTTACTTTGGCCTCTTCATAAAAACCATGCGAATTTTCCTGTTATTGTTAGACGATTTGATAAAGAATTCCGTGTTTGTACCGGTTTTTTGGTTAAATTCTATTCAATTGCTGAACTAAAAATTTGATATGTTTTATATACAAGGTGTTTGTGTGGCTTGTTATGGGTGATAAGTACAGTGTCGTCTGCATATTGCAGAAAATATTTTGATTCTTCTACTAGTTCTTGGTCTTGTAAGTAAGTCATCACTATACACGCTGCGCCAACTAAAACAAAAACAGGGATGTTATTGATGCGTATTTTCGTAACTGACTAGTTAACGGTCCAATCGGGCTCAAAGTTAAAGAAAATACGGTTAACTTGTAGATAATTCTTATACTATCAACTTTCCTTCGTAGAATTTTGTGGGGAATCGCGTTTTTCCATCACTTTTAATTCCACATAATTCGTTTTGGCATCGTTGGATAGAGAATTGAAAATTCGCTTCAGTCATATCAACATGAGTGAGGAAATTCGAGTAGTTTTGACCCAGAAAGCGAAATTTGAATATGAGACTTAGGTGCAATTCTCGGAGGCAAAATGAGCAAGCACGCTAATTTTTTATTTTATTATTCCAGAGAGAACCATCGATTCACGTTTTCCTATTATTTCATGCAGCCTGTTTTCATGTACGTGTTGAAACAGTTTGCTTAGTACCGGGATTAAAGTATTTGTTTGTTTTGCTTATGTTGTTTAAGGATTTGTTGAATCCATTCTTTGCTATGGTTTTTTTATTCCGTTTTTCCATGTCGTTGCGACATTGTGTTTTTAATTCCATTGTTGAGTTGCCTCAGTATAATGTCGAGTGATTCGGAGTTAAGCTTTTCAGTATTTTACTTTTTATTTGGTCGTGGTGCTGTAATTTTCACGTTCATTTGTTTTCGTTACATTTCGTGTCTGTGATTTGTATGCATGTGCGTTTTGATGGTTTCAAAGTAATTTTAAGAATGTTCAATTTATTGTGAAACTGATTATTGGTTGCTTTGATTAGTCTTGTTCACTTGTATTGTATGTGTTATACGTTGTATTGTTTTACTTTGAGTCTACATTCTTATGGGTGATTCGCTTTATCCATGAAATGCAGTTGAACTTTTCTGTGGCAATAAAGCATATTTTAGTTTGGTTTGAATGTTTTTCAAAATTATTTGGTCAATGCTGTAGGAATGTGTATAATTTTGAACATTTGCGTATATAGTGACAGTTTATTAATATTTCTTCGGTACGACCTTTTTGTCGCAATTTTTTTCAATATCACTTGCGTGCCTCTAGCCATTTGCTCTCTTTCGTTTCAAATATTACATTAGTAAATTAATGTGAGAGTATCTTTTTTGTCAACAATTTCAAATATTTGAGCTCAAAAAGTTACGTAATGCTATAAAAAAGCATATCACAACATTAATGTATATATAACGCACAAGGCCGTTAAAATTTGAACCCCGTATTTGTTTTTACTTTATGTAACTTACATACATTTTACTGTTAAGGTGAAATTTCCTGTATATAAAATGAATTTCACCGCTTTCTAGCCCAGAAATACTGAATACATCATATTCCACAACTCCCGGACTTTAATACCATGTATTCGGCTGTATTCTAGTCATTAAGAGATAAATGTACATGTACGTTTACTACAGTCTAGTCGAACAATCCTGCAAAATTATGTCAAGTATAATAGTATCTGTTTTTACTACTTTAAATAAGCTCGTTGGTGTACTTATGTAGATATTCTTATTACTCTTTTGTATAATAGTTATGTTCAATGTTAATTCTATCAATAGTTAATTAAGGGATTAATCCAAAGGCGTTGATCATAAAAGTGAAGTCTGATTGCAGATTGTTCTTTTCAGGTCATTTAATGAATGTTAGTTTATTATTACTTTGGTTAAGATTTAATTGTAAAATGTACAGTTGCAAGGGACTTAAGTTTTGCGAACTCTTTCACGCATTTCAAATTATTCCACAATTGTTTGTTATTGTAAGGACTGTAACTATAAGTTGACTAAAATTTTAAGTCGGATTTACTTAGTAATAATTTATATTATATTATATAGGTACCAATGTATTTATTCATTAGCATAAATCATAATTAGCGTATAACAAGTGAACACTAACAAGTGAAACTGGGAGTTGTTTTCAAGAACAATAGTTTTCTGGATTTATAACCACCAGTTTCGTCAGGAATTTGCATTTTGAAGCTTGTATTTATACATATTTTTTAATAGTTTTTGTCAATATTTGTATGTACCGGAATTGTGATTTTTCATTTTTTTGCTGTAGGTCCTTCCCAAACCCTCTAGGATTTAATGTTAACAGGATCCAATTTTGAGGTATTAGTTTAATCAATTATGTTTTACAAAAAATATTGCTGCATTAATTTAAAGTATTTGATGGCGAAAAGACATAATTTCGACTACATATTCAACCTTTAAACTTTAGTTTGAGAACGAATTCAATTTTATAGATAGAATAGAATAACAATTAAAAACTAAATAATTGCTATAAAATGGATTATCGAAACAATCAATTTTTGATGACTTTGTCATTAAGATTAATAAGACTTTATTATTAGAATTTATTAGTTCAAAACAATTGCAAACCAATATAGTTGAAAAAATACGTGATAGTCAATAAAAAAAATCTTCAATATCAAAAATAACCACTTTCAGGACAAAATAATCACAAGTTTATCTGACAAACAATCAAGTGATGCCGATAAACTTGTTGCTGATAAAATTCATTTTTCAATTGCACTCAAAAACATTTCCAAGCTTGCTTTCAGCAGCTCAAAATTTATCAGAAGAATAACAGGAAGAATGTCGTAATAATATCTATATCTATATCGTAATATAATCTGTACCTGTTTAATGTATTAGCAACAGATGTAAAAGAAATATAAAAAGAATGCATTCAAAAAAAAGTAAGATTGTTTCTTGAAAAAAGCTTGGATCTCTTGTTGAACATTTTGTAGACTCATCAACACACTGAAGATTTAAGATTTAAAAATCAAATAAAAAATTATTTTAGAAAACCCATTCAAAATTAAACTTAATAGAATAAAAAGCATTAAAATCTTTGGAGAACGATGAAACGATTAAAATTCTTCCTGGTGACAAAGGTATTGCAGCTTTAATAATGGATTATAATATCTATGATCACTCAACTAATAAAATGAAAAAATAAAAAGTTATTCAAAATTAAACAAAACTCCAACAGAACGTTTTGAAAGACAAATTTAGGACAATTGATCTTGAGCAAAGATTGAGCTAGAGCTTGAGATTTTAAGTATATTGCTTGTAAAACGCCAGGAAAAAAATGATCTTGAGGTAACAGATATTCGATTCTTTGCTGTATTTTGGAAGTGTGAGAAGGTTTCGATCAATTCATTTAAAATCAATCCTGAATCATTTGAAAGTTTGAATTAATGAAACTGTTGATGTGAGGCTTTCCAGGCGTGCTTTTTTCGATTTTATTTTTTACAAAGTACAAGGAAACCTCAAGGAATTGAATTAGTGATCAACGAGTAAATTATGTTTTGTTAAATCAGTGGCGCGCCATTTTTGCTTGAAAATCATGAATCATCATGATCGCTGAAAAACCAGCGCCAATGATAGACCAAAAAATGTTCCATTTCAACGAAAATTTCTTTAAAAGATCTTAAGCGGTTTGGGATTTATGAATATTTTTTCAGGTGTTTTTTTATACATTTTTCACACCCTGAATTTTTGTCGCCATGCCCTTAACGAATCTCGTTTATTAGAACACCTTATATTAGAATAATGCCAGCAAACAGCTTTTGTTTATCAGAATACTTTTGAATCATCCTGCACATTCTAAAATCAAAATATCAAATTCGTCAAGCCCGAGTTCTCTTCAGCAGCAAACCCGATCAGAACTCGGCTTTGTGCTTTTTTTGGAACTTTGGCGCGTGAAAATAATGTTCTTTGATCAAAAAACACCTTGTATAAATGCTTAGTGATGCTGCTTAATAATAAGCCATGGACGGGGTCTTTCAGCGATATTTCACCGGATAAAATTGATGACTCCGTTGCACCTAGTTTTACATAACAGAAAGCTGCATACATAATAAATTTGCTGATATCCTTTGAGTTTGACCTAGTTCATATTAAAACAACTTCTCACATTTCCTGCTTTATATCCTGCCACTGCTTGTGCTAATGCAGCATCATCTCGCTAATGATGAACAGGGAACTCAGCAATGTATTTTATGCGGGGCATATAGAGCCAAATGGAGAAATGCCCGGTAATTTATCAGTACATGAAGTAGAAGCCGGCAGATTCACCCTGTGGAAGTTATTTAAGCTGGACTTTTGTATACAAAACAGAAAAAATAACATAAACAAATTGGTTTGATTGGAATGCTGGCCGCGTCAATTCCTATATTTTGGCAAGGTTCAATAGAAAAAGATTAGTGCAAACCTGAGGTGCAAACGTAATCGGGTGGTTTCATTCGAATCTTACCAGCAGTTAGTTGGTCAGTTGTGAATCGGAAATTGGTTAGAATGCGCAAATCAGCATGGTTTTTCAATCAAGAGTAATTGCGTATTTTAATTTTGTTATCTTATAGATAAGTGCGCTCAAAGTTGGTGAGGTTCAAAGTGAATAGATACTGACTGTGAATAGATACTAATGTCCTTCAGCTGGCTGGTAAGCAGATGCTTTCGGGTAAGTAAATCAATTAAAAAGTGTCTTTTTTGTATAGAATAAGTTCAGTCAATTTTGGGAGTAAATTTAGGCTTTTCTTCTCCTTCGAAATCGGCTTCCATTCAGAAAAGCTAAAAAAACGCTGTGTTGAAATCGAATGAAAAATTTGCTGTTTGTTAAAAAGATTACGTCTGCTACGACTGCTAGACCGATTATCAATTGCACTTGAAGCAACATTTCCAGGAGTGTACAAAATTTACGGATACATTTTTATGTATGTTTATTTATATTTATCACCCATGAAATAGACGATATTTTATGCAATGTCCAGATGTACCTAGAAAAAATGCTACATTTTAGTCACTCATTTTGATTCCAAGCTAAAATTACGTCCTTTATCAAAATGTATCTGAACTTCATTAGAAAAAAAAACAAATATTTATCCGAGCATTTATAGGTATTTCTAAACTAGTACGGGCCCTTATTAATGCTGAAAATAACCCAGAAAATCCCAACAAATTTCTTGTTTGCCGTCCACTTGTAAGTTTTTTACCACATCGTTTGTGGCATCTTAAGTAAAAATCTGCAACATTCTGATAATCGAAGCGTTTTGTTCAATATTGGTTTTATTTTTGAATAGTTTTATGGACCCAATGGACCCCAATTGTTAAAACGCACTACGTTTTTATATCTTTTTCAATGAAAAGTTACAAAAAATAATACTCCTAATGCTCCTTCTCAAACTTTGGCTGAATAGCTAAAAACAAAGAAAAACACTAACTTAACTGATAGACAAAAACGTGTAAAAAATAGACTAAAATATAGTATAAAAAGAAGATACCTTAAAACATTTGACTTTGAAAAATTTTGTTTCAGATTTCAATTGGGTTTGGCATCAACAATAAAAAGCCTCCATTAAAACGTGTTGGCAAAAATTTTTTGATAAATGCGCGATATTAACGCAGAAAATCAACCGGAAATAAAAAATTTTCGAAGAAGGAACCCCAATAACTACTTAAATTAATATTTTTTTATGATTTATTCTCTCTCCTCTTCATAAATGTTTCAATAGATAATATACGATAATATCGAAAAATTGGGTCTGCTTCTTCAGTGATATGAACGAAAATGTGTTTTTACTTTTTTCTTTTGTTGTTAGGACTTATATAAAATTCTCTTTGTCCGGACTATCCAGTCAAATTATATTTATAAACAATTTTCCAGCTATTTATGCTGCTGCTTGGCTCGCTAATACACCGATATAATTGTTCGGTTTAATTATTGCTCTAGTTCTTCTATTAGTGTTTTTGCCAAATTCATTTAAGTCGTTTTCCTAATTGTAATTCGTTCTTCCTCTAATTCGTGTTAAGCTGTGTTCCTATTTTCAACATTCAAATTTGATTTTATTCAGTTTTTATCTTGTAATATTCATTTTCTTTGCGGATTTGGTATTTGTATTTTGCTTATTTTTTCTGGGTCTTTTTTTCAGTTTGTGCGTTTTGAATTTTTCTATTTATTTCTAGTTATTTCTCCAGAAGAACTATATTAAGGACTTTTCGACGATTCTCTTGCTACTATTAATTTCTGAAATCTTATTAAAGATTTGTTGTCGTTTCTCTTTCGTTCTTTGTTTTCTGCATTAGTTTTTCCTGAATTCGTTTTTGATAGATTATAATAAATTAATAAAATATCTGTGTGGCACTGTCTTAGTTTGAATTATCTTTGTAGACGTTATTGCAGCTATTTATGTAGCTGTTTGGGACTCTAGTACACCGATATACATACTTAATTATGTTTCTTTGTTCGTTTCAGAATTGTTCTAATTTTTATTTTAG